TCGACCTCTCCCACGATTCAGTGCTGCTCCCTCTATCAATCCTGGTAAATCGGCGATTGATAAACTGAACGAATCTTCATCATCGTCAGCGGATTCTAACTCCGACCCAAAGTCATTAATATAACCACCAAGTTCTTGTTTTAATTTACGTGCTAAAAATTTTTACTACAATTTCAGCCTCATTTATTCAATAGATATCAAACTTAGAGTACACATTCATATGCAAAGAAAATGATAGTAAATAATGAGATGATTTCAAAATCGATGATGAATTATGAAAACTTTTAAATCAATATGACAGTTCAACATTCCCTTCATTAAGTTCAGTAACATAACAATTTGATAAGATAAACAGATAAATGATGATGAACAATAACAAACTCAGTAGAGTTTTGTTTTAGTGACAGTTTTACTAGTAAGAATTAAAAGAATCCCAAAATTACATTTTCAGCAAAAGTTAAAATAAGAACTTTTTGATAGAGTATTTGTTTTGAAAGGAAGGTTTAAAAAAATCTAACTCTTCTACACACTTTTTCAAATATAAATAACTTACTTTCCGATTCAGCTTCCTTCTTTTCTTTATTCTGTTGTGTAACGTTGTTTCTTAGAAACAATTCATCAGTTAAGTACCAGCCTAATGTTTTCGCGCCCCTAACCGAGAAACCGTTTTTCCCATTGGTATAATTTGGTGATGTTCTTGCACCTGTTGTTGTTGTTGAGCCTTTACGATTATTGATTCCAAGATAGGATGACTCAAAACTTTGATTGTCAAGACTTCCACCTGTCATGTTAACGCCTTATTTTGTTCTCTGAAAAAACATAATAAATATAAATTCATAATCCCAAAAAAATAAATAAATGAAGAAATCTTCCCCTCAAGATTTCATTTTTTTCGCAAAAAATTTTTTTTGAATTCAAAATTTTGAATTATTCTTCGATTAACATCAATATGTTCAATATCTAGCAGCAATAGAAGTATACAAAAATTATGTATTCAATAAATGAAATAATTTCTTTTCTTTTCGGTTACAATTAGTAATAATTAATGTTAAGTATATCTATCAATCTATGAAAGATTAATAGAAATGTTACAATTAAATTGAACAAAACTACAAACATTCAACAGAAGCATTTCACTTTATCAAAAATAGAAAGAGAAAGTAATTGAATGAGAAGTGTGTCAAATGGGAAAATATGGGATATATTTCTGGACTTGAATAATTGTAAGTGAACAGACAGGAGAGGAAGAAATTTCGGCCATTTGATGATAGAATTGACAAAAAGTATGAGTGGAAGAGGAAGATGAGAAGCAGACAAAATGTGTGTCTCAATGTGCCCATGTATATATATTATATGTGTGTATTGTATGTATGTATATATATATATATATTTGTGTGTATTTATATATATATGTACATGTGTGTTTGTGTGTGTGTGTGTGTGTGTGTGTGTGTAGTATATGTGTGCAGAAGTACATTTATTTGTTAGTGAAGCAGGAAGTTCGAAAAGTTGCCCTTATCGAGTTCTATATGCTTCCTACTATTTATTGAATGCTTTTATAAATGTTATTATGATAGAAAGAAAGATAAAAGACTTTTGAATATGATGATTATAAAATGTTTATGTACATTTTATAATCTCATTCATTATAATAAAATTAAAGTTCGTTATTAAAAAATGTGCAAAGAAAAGCTGTCGCTAAATTATTATTTAAAATAACATTTTTATTAATTATACTTATAGTCTTTTATAAATAGAATAGCATCGATAGGAAATATATTTGAAAAATTTAATGAATTTTCTGGTTGAAGAGACGTTATGTTCTTTTAGGAATCATAAATCTGGTAGCAAAAAGGATTGCAATGGATGAATTGTGCACTTTTTCGTAGAAAAAAAGGAACGAATAATGACATCATAAGCTCTTCCTTATCTCATAGGCCATTGTTTAAAAGCTGGCTCAAAGATCCATCCATACTAACACTTTTTCTTTAATAATTGTACAATTTGAGATGAATCTAAAGATACTTTACTAAAACTAAATCATTCATTATAGAATATATAAATGGAAAAGCTTATAAAACAGATTGAATCTCTCTCTCTCTCTCTCTCTCTCTTAAAGAGTCTTTTATAGTAATCAAAAAATATGACAGAAACATCGGAAATGAGAAAGTGTATGATTTTTAGCACTTTGAAATTAAGAGTGAAAAGAATAAAAAAAATTCGCTAATAAATAACCTTGTATTAATTACACAGGTATACAACATCTTACACTATTTTAATTATTGCACTAAACAACAATGTACTCTGTGCAAAATAAAATTGCAAAGAAACAAAAATTCAGTTAAAAAAAAATGTTACTAATTTAAAAACTTTTGCAAATATTTTAAATAATAAAAGATGTTGAGAATTCTCGTAGACTTTCCATTAATTTAATTATTTTTAATCTTAAACATGTAACATAAGAATTGTGAATTATTTGTTGTCATAAAATAAGGAACAATTAATCCATCTGAATGACAGCACTCGTTTAAATTGGAATTAACTTATGAGCCACTTCATTCCATATGTTATCATCTATCTTAACAGGTTTTGTATGGTGAAAAAAATCTTATCCGGTTATTGTAATCGAGCATTATTTATCTTTTCCGTTCTGTTCGTTTAGTTATTTTTTGATGTTGCGTTTGTTTTAAGGAATTGTTTGCTATTTAATGAATAACTAAAACATAAAGCAAATGTGGCTAAATGATTGTTTGTTCTGTTGTTAAACTTTCATTTTGGAATTATTAGCCTGGTGCTAATTATTTTGTGTAACGAAAATTCAATTCATTTGCACAACAGAAAGCAATATAAAAGTCAGTCTATTTGAAAAATCTCATGATATGCAAAAGAATTTCTTGAACACAATAATCTATTTTCTTCGATATTATTTCATAACAACCAACTCAGAAATACTTCAAACTTTAGCAGTTGTTGATAATTTCCAGGTGGAAATTAATGATCAACCATTTGGAAAAAACTTGAAATGTCTAATTTAATGGAAACCTCAAAGGAAAATTCCCAATGAATGTGAATTAATTTGAAAGCGAAAACTTAAAAAAAAAGCGAAAAATATTTAAAGTTTAAAAGCGAAAAATATTTAAAGTTTCAGTGATGGCGTAACAAAGAAAATCTATGATCGAATCAATACATAACTCAATATTATGATAATGGCGGAAAATCAGCACATTAATAGGAATAAATTTTAATCAGAAGAATTATCTTTTCATCAAAATGCAAATTCTATCACTGATAATTAATCAATAAAAAGTATAAAATATTTTCCATGTAAATTTTATATTAATCCTTCTTCTTTGTCTTTTCCCCTGCTCAATTAGCATGAAATAATAGAAAATGAAAAACAATATTTGTTGATAGAAAATACAAACTGAAAAATTTCTTAACAAAAAAAACCATTAAAATGATTGATATGAAACATTTGTAAAAGAAGAAAAATTAATGATTTTAAATGGCATATATATATAATGAGAGAAACAAAGAAAAATATTTGCTTAAAAAATTCCTCCTATCTTCTCAACAATTAATTTTATTATCGATGAAACGAACAAACAATGTATGTAAACAGAAACTAATCATTACATTATGCATTTTCTGCTTATATATACTTATCTACCAATTTTTTCTATTTTTAGATTGCAATCTAAAATAATATCACCATTATCTATTTACTTCACCTGTTTTAATGCTTTAAATAATTTAATAAACAATAACACTCTTTTGCTATTTAATAATTCCACGTTGTAAATTCACTTACTTTTTCTTATCTTCAACTAAATCTAACAAATAATATAAGAAATAAGAACAGTGAAAAGTAATTAATTCGTCTCACTGGTGGATTATTAGCTATAAAAATGATCCACAAAGTTTGTATATAAACAAACAGATACGAAAGAAGGAATAGAGCAACCCTCGTTGTTTAATTTGGGAAACTTTTAATTAAGGTGGAAGGTAGAAGAGAAAAGAGAAAAGCAAAAAGTTTCTAATCTTTTGCTTTTCATTTCAACAAAGAATAAAAGCGCAAACGCTTAATTTTTCTCTCCAACATATGTGAATTCTGGTTCAAGCGAAGAGATAGATATATGACTGAAAAACTGAACCAGTTTTGGTATAAATTTTTAAAATTCGATTTAAAAGAATACAACAAAATGAAAAACAAATTATGTAACACAAATCTGATCAAAATTATTTTCTTAAACAATGAATAATTATAAAACTGAATTGTCCAATATGGCTAAAAACAAAAACAAACTTTAAAAAAAAAATGTTATCTTTTATAACTGTTAATAATTTTCATTAATGAATTTTAATAAAATAAAAGTTTTATTTAAATAAGCAAACAAACAAACGAACTTCCCTTAAATGCCCTTTCCATCAGAAAAAGATGCCTTTACATGCGCCTTGCGTAATCAATTATTCAAATAAAAATGAATTTATAAACTCTAAAAAACGTCATCATCATCATCATTGGAGGGTAACTTCAACTTTTTATACAATCTCTTTTGTTTTGTTTGATATTGGCACAAATATGATATCAATGAAAATCATTATCTTATCATCAACGTCAAATAATAAAACAATTAAACAATGAGTGCATCTAATCGTGCCAAACTATCATTCCACATCGTAATATGCAACAATTTTTGTGTCAGTCACATTCCGCTCATAGTCTAAATAGGACAAATGCGATCAATAAAAAAAGGTCATCGATAAATAAATAATAATAATGATAATAAAAACCGTATTTCATTTAAAAAGAAAATGATAAATAGAAAAAGATGAAAGAGTGTGTAAGTGTCGGTTAGTCGCCAAGCATTCCTTACACTAACACTAACATTTATATTTCCCATTTCATTTACAACTATTTATCAATTAAATGAAAAATGAAAATGGAAAGTTTTTTAGAAAGAAAAGAAAATTCAAAAATTCATTTAAATATAAGAAGCAATGCAATGTGAAAATCAAAATGTTTCCTTTGAAATTTAAGTTTTTTGATATTTTTATAAAATAAGCGATAAAAATTGAAAGAAAAAATGAAAGTATGTGATGACTCATAATGTTTGTCATTTCAAATTTGCTCTTTCATATGCTCTCTCTTTCTCTCTCTCTCTCTCTTTCATCACATTACCATTTATTGATATTATTTATCAAATTATTTTTCACTCAATTTTTAAAATACATAATTATAATTGCAATCTGATAATACAATACATATTTTACCGTTTTTTTTGTCAAACTTTATCACTCACACATATCTTTCCACGTAATAATGATAATGATGATAATGACAAGTAATGATGATACAGCTACAGCTAGCTAGTCATAAAAAAGTAGAAATTCAAATGAAAGTAAGTTGTTATGATTTAAATTGCTATTGTTAAGTTTACACTGGAAACAGGAAATATGGAAAATGCTGAAAGAAAAAAAGTAAAGTTTCGGTCCAAAATGGAAATCGATCATCATCCGAATCAATGAAAAATGATCAACAAAAATTCTGAACTAAATATTTTCCCCAAAAGCATAGTAAAAGTGTTATAACATAGAGTGAAAATACAAGTTACTCAATAAAAACTAATTTATAATTTTAACAAATGTCTCCTTTCACATGCGACATGTGATGTTGCGTCACGCAATTTGGACTTATCCATCATCCATTATTGTTAACGTTATTGAATAATTAACACGCTTATTATTCTAATGTCAACGAATAAAATAAATTATGCATAACAATAAT